ATACCTTAAAAAGATTATAAAATGGGAGAGGGGGGGCTGGAGAGATTGCTCAGTGAATAAGAGTACTTGCTGTGTAAACAAGGACCTGAGTTCTGGTCCCTAGCACCCACATAAAAGCCAGACATGGCCACATGGACCTATGATCCCAGCATGGGGCAGCAACAGAAACAGGAGGATTCCTGGGACTTACTGGACAGCCAACCTACCTGAAATGCAACAAGCTCCAGGGTCAGTGAGACACACTGTCAGGAGGGTCTAAGGCTGGGATGATGGAGCTGGCATTGGATGTGCCTCTCTGGCTTCCAAGAAGGCCTGTGCCTCCCACATTCCCTTCACATGCATCACATGTTGTATGTTAATGTATGAAAACACTTAGGGATGACCTGGGCTCTATGCTACTACATAGGAGCCGCTGCTTCTATTTTTTTCTCTCTTCCTTTAATAAAGCTGTTTGCTGAAACGCAGACATTTGATCATTGATTATAAAGTCTGGAACTGAAGAAAAACTGAATGCACAGGACTTTGTCTCAGTCAAACTTGCTGAAATGTCACCTTCAAGCTTTCTTCCTGCTGGAATGGTTTAGTTCTGGAAACCTGAAAATAGGGTGAGAAAACAAGAGATACCTGGGCTTCTAAACCCACTATTTTAGAGAGATAATAAACATCTAAAATGCTACTGACAATACAGTTTGTTTTAAACATTCATTGGAGTCATAAGGTTTTCTTTAAGTTATAAAATTTATATGGACTGCATAGATTTTAAAGAATTGTCATGCAAAACCCTTTCTAGAGAGAAATTAAATTATATTTATTTATTGATAGTCAGCATAACCAAAAATAAAGATATAACCATATGTTGGCTAAATGCTCAGAATATTTTTAACATGAACTTTGCTAGGTAAACTTAAAATGTAAATTTAAAGGATCAACAAGATTTCTGAATTTTTGCTCATATAAAATATGTATGAGTTTTATCAGCACTGAGATGGGTTGATTTTGTTGTTAGGACAACTGCTGACAGATAATACATTTTGTTGTAAGTGATGCTGAGGTCAGATATTTTAATACCTGAATTTGTTGTGTATGTGGACTGTAAAATTATCAGGAGTTTGTTTCTGAGATAATCACTTATGTTTTCTACTAATTTTTGTCATGTTTTTGCCTACTTAGGGAACCATGTCTTAACAAAATTGAGGTTCATTTAAGTTTTTGTTTATGTTGGCATCTTTTAAATGACCACTTTTCAAGCAACTATCTTGAAATAATTTTATTTTATTTTATTTCCTATGACTGGAAACATAAAACTCTATGTCTAAACTTTATATATTTTGCAAAAGTTTGACATGTAAATTGTTTGTTTATTTGTTTGTTTTTGGGAGAAGGTTTCACTTTGTAGTGTTGACTGGCCTATAACTTGCTATGTAGACCAGGTTAGTCCAGAGATCTATCTGCCTCTGCCTATTAAGTGCTGAGATTAAAGGTGTGTATCACTATGCCTGGCAATATGTAAGTTTAATACATGCAAAAAATAATTACATACTAGTTACTCAGTATGCATCGTGTTTAGACTGTCAACATATCAAATGAACAATAAATTCTTTTGACATTTCTGCTTTTTAAAAATCAGTACCATTAAGACTCAAAGCCTACCATTTGAGCAATCTTGCTATTTCAGACCTTGGGAATAACTTTAGAACTAGGTGTCTGGATTTTCATGGTGTAAATGGGTTATATGTATCTTCTAGTCTCAACTGATCTACTAAATGATGTTAGGGTTACCTCTTCAGAGGGAAGGGTGATACCATGGTCCTGAAGGACATCAGGGCTTCGTTGAAGCCTAGTAAGACAAAACTATTTGCTCCTGCTCAAAAGAATGGAATCTGCTTCCAGTCCTGAGTTGAGATAGGACATATTGTCATTGTCTCCTCCCTTAAGAGTTAATTTTGGCCGGGCGGTGGTGGCGCACGCCTTTAATCCCAGCACTCGGGAGGCAGAGCCAGGAGGATCTCTGTGAGTTCGAGGCCAGCCTGGTCTACCAAGTGAGTTCCAGGAAAGGCGCAAAGCTACACAGGGAAACCCTGTCTCAAAAAAACCAAAAAAAAAAAAAAAAAAAAAAAAAAGAGTTAATTTTGGGCTAGGCTCAGTAGTTAATGGTACTTGCCTTCAAGTTTGAAGACCTAAGTTTGGTCCTATGTGATAAAAACAGAGAACAGACTCAAATAAATTGTCCTCTGCTCTCCATATGTGTGCAGTGCCATATTCACACGATCACCACTCTACACCATGCAAAATAAAGAAATAAGTAAATGAATCAAAAATGTGATTTTAAAAAGTTAATTTATCTGGGAGTACTAATCACCCACCCAATGGACCCTGTCTCAGGAAGACTAATTCACCTGAAGCCACGCTGAAGAGATGAGAGGAATAATTATCGATTCCATGATACAATGTACTTTTCAGCTCCAGAGATGGATAGCGGCCAACTTCTAGGCTTTCTCACTCTTTCTCAGAAGGAACTCCCAGCCCCCTCCACTTACCTGCTTGTTCATCATGGGGTTGTCTGCTGAACCTCTGTTGCTGAACATGGAAGTCTAACTCAAAAGCGTGGCTTCTCTCTTCCTGTTCTCCAACTCTCTTTTCTGGGCAGCTGCTAAGATTCCCAGCTTAATGCCCCCATTGCTTTTCTTTTAACCTCCTATCAGTTTGATTTCTCCAACTTCCTTTTGAGTCTTTCCTTAAATTTTCTTATTAATGTGACTAAGAACCCAGAGAACAATAATTTCCTTGGTAACATATGGCAACCGAGATAGGATTTCCTAAATTTTCTGGTAATTCTAATTCTGGTAGTTTCTAACTGTTGTTGGCTCTTTTATATGCATTTATGCCTCTTGTATTATATAAATCCTCTGTTAGATTTCTGAGGCAGTGTATAAAGACAGAAGGTAGAAAAGGACCAGAGTGTGACCTCAACAGATGACACTGTTAATTTTAAACAAGGAAGGACAGGCACGCTCCCATGGGATGGAGGTCTTGTGCGGAGAAAAACCTAGCTGAGACCCTTTATGGAGGTACGGGGGTTTTGGAAATGAGGAAGCAAATACAGCTTTGGGGGCTACCTGTGAGTCTGTCTGTGGTCTCTCTTTCCTGGAATTGTCGACTTCAGGCAAGACAATTTATCTTGGGAGGAAGGCCATTGGTGCAAACTGTCCTTGCTTGGCTGAGCAAGGTCAGCTGTCATCTCACAGGGACCCTGGTTTTACAAGGCAGCCTATCACCTTCTGCCACGCAACGCACAGGAGCACACTTCTGATGTTTTTCAAGCTGAAACTGTTGGTGGTATGAAGCTTTTGCAGGCCTGTGTTCACGTGTTCCCATTTGTAGTATGATTAATCACACTAAGCATGTAGAGTTAGACAGGCCCTAACGTTGTGAATGCCAAATAGTCCCTTAGAATAAATAATTAAAAGATATTGAACACTGGCTATCTAAGAAGCACATCTGTAAACAGGTATGAATTCTTAAGAGACAATTGTGCCTGTTTCCTTGGCTATCAGTCATTGGAATTTCCCCAGAAAGCTCAAACTGGGAGAAGAAAAAGGCTAAAGCCTGGTGCCAGGCAGAGGAACTTGTTTCCAGGAAAAGAGATTTCACACCTCATGCCACCTGCAGGGAGACGACTGACAGGTCAGTTATGGGCAAAGACTCCGCTGATGGGGACTGCCTAGTGATGAACCCCTCTTGCCCTCTGTTAAAACCCAACATCATGTCAGGACCCCAGAAGATGGATGTGGTGGGTGGGTGGTAATCACTGGACCACTTTGTCCTTTTCCCCAACATGGCCATGTTGACTAAATCTCCTCTGTTTTTCAGTATTGAATATCTAATTGGTATAATGAGGACAGGTTCTGAGCCTACCTCTTCAAGGCTGCCAGGGCCCAGGAACTGGTTCTGACGACTCTGCTCACAAGCTCCTTAAATAGATCTAACAGATTTTTAGTCAATTATTAATGATTTTCCATTTAAAAAGATTGTATCACATGCACATAGAAGTAATTTTACTTTCTCAAATCAACCTGGGTATTCCTTTCTTTATTGTTTAATTCCGCCGGATAGAACCTGCTTGGGGGTGTTGTAAGACCAGGGCAAAGTCTTTAGTTTTTGACCCAGAGGTAAGCTGCTGCCTGTGAATGCTCTCATTTCAAGGCATATTCCTCTACTCCCGTTTTTAATGTCTGTTTTAAAAATGAAAACGTGTTGGCTTAGTCTCGTACTTTTTGTGTCTGTTGAAATGATCTATATGACTTTGACCTTCATCCTACCACACTAAATGGTGTTGAAATTCATCCAATTTTTCTTCCCAGAGTTAGCCTTACTGTGTAAATCCATGCTTCAAATTGTTATGTATCATCTTGAATGACTAACCTTTGCATTTCTCTAGTATACTGCCCCCTTCTCCCCGCTTCCAGCAATGTTTGTTATGTCAAAGTCTACTTAGGGGTTATTTGTAAAATGAATCCCCCTCTCCATCCGTGCTGTTGGCATGCTATCTCCTCTTCCATTCGGTAGCTTTCTATCTTCCATCTTAAAGAATTTCCATTTGTAAAGGAAATCAAAAAGTTGTTCTGTAAGGCACACTGGACAAGAGAGGATGCTAACACGGTAAGACTCAAAGGGACACACACTGTGGCCCTAGGCACAGCTTGTTTGTCGTTTTTAACATCCTTGCTTCAGCTGTGTTTAGGAAAATACGTAGTAAATCTGTGGGAAATTTTGGCTCTTTTTGAAGGTTTTCTCCTTATTTATCTTATTATTTACTGTCCTATCTGCTTCATGGAATGAATACAAGTAGCCACTTCCAGATAAAGAACCTTTGACAAAACCCGTTCTGAATCCTACAGACTGTCTATGCAGACACTTCTTTTGTACAAACAGACCACAATAACAAAATGGTTAACTGCAGGTTTGGGCATTCTAGACCATTTTCTCAACTGGGTTTTCTGATACACTCACCCAACTTCCTATTTTGTTTCTTGCTTTTGTAGAAACTGTCTGTGAAGTTTGTAAAGACTGGGAGCCTTGTTTCTTCCATACATTATTGGCCAGGAAATTCAGCATTCATTATCTTCCTGGTCCTTGCCTTGCTTCCACCTCCCTTGTCTATGAAGACCGTCTGATAGGTCTTCCAGAACAGTCCTATTTTCTCCTCATGGCTTGGCATACTTATTAACAGCTCTTCATCCTGGAAAGCACCTTGGTTTGGATGCTAGCTAATTCCAAGGTCAGCAACTTGTCTTTACCAACTCGCAAAGGATGCCATGCCACAGGTGCCCACTAGGTGTCAGTAGCGTAGCCTGCCAAGGATCTTCAGAGCAAGCATTTCATCACAAAAATCAAATCAAAGCAAATAATTAAGTGTGGATCAAGAGCTACCTGCAGCTTTGACCGGTTCAAAACAGGTGAGACAGAAGCGGGAGGTGTGGAGGATCAGGTACACTACAGGTGACTCCTTCCTAGGATCCAATAGGGCAGGGAGGATTCCCTTCCTTATTAAAGGACTTCAGTGATTCACGGAATGAGTATCCTTTCCAATTTACACTCACAAGATGAAGCCGGTGTTCAGTGAGTGAGGAAACAGCTTTGAATGAAGAAGGATTTCTCTTCGTAGATTTCTCTTCAATTCACAGTCGGGTGAAGGTCCTGCAGGTAGATCCCGTTGGAAGCATACGTTTATTTCATCGAGAAGATGAGCTGCCTGAACTGACAGATATTAAGAAGATTTGAAAGCATGTACCTGCAGAATCATCAAACTGGACTCGTTTGGGAATGACTTCTGGATTGCACATATATTACCTCTCATCCGGGTAATGCGGCTGGAAACCTGCCCTGCCTCAGTTGTATGGCACACATCAGCCCCCAGGTGTATATAGTAAGAGACCCACAGGCATGGGTCTGGCAGTGCATACGGCTTTTGGTTCTTGGAGCTGGTTGCTATGGCTGATGGTCCTTGCATGTTCGGAAGCATCATCGTATGTGAACGAATCCTCAAATTCCACTGCCCAACAGGCACCTGATGCTCGGTTTGCTGCTTCCAGCTCAGACCCTGATGAAAGGATATCTGTGTTTGAACTGGATTATGACTATGTTCAAATTCCCTATGAGGTCACCCTCTGGATATTGCTTGCATCTCTTGCAAAGATCGGTAAGTCCTCAATATATATTTAAGGGGGGATTGTGTCTTACCTGAAGTATCACATATGAAACTCTCTTATAAATAGACCATGGGTTAAGTAGATATTAACTGTTACTTGTGGTGCATTAAAATTATATTCCCTGAAATCAAGAGAAAGTCATGGCTTTTTAATGCTTCAGGATTGTGTTGAAATTTAAATGCATACTTCTACACCCTTCATTGTTTGGACTTTGTAATTCAAGAACACAACCATGTGACTTATCTGTCATGTAAAAAAATTTCATGCTCTATGTTTTAAAAAAATATAAAATGTAAAGGGTTGAGGGCTTGGGAAACGCCAGAGACTGAATAATATTTCTTTTTATAAAATGATCTGCCTTTGTTCCTAGCCATGAACTGTAATTTGTCAATAGCTTTAGTTATTTATTCCAAGAGACCCAGGTTTATTTTGAAGTGGCAGGAGAAAATAACCACAGGTAACTCTCACACCCCAGCAATGTGGGGTGGGGTATATGAGACAATACCTTTTGGTAAGTATAGCTTTCCTCCTAGCTCAAATGGGGCTGCTGGCCACCTCTACTTTCCTTTGTAAACGGAAGTGAGCCGAAGCAAATGGACTAAATTCAAGTCAAGTGCTCTTCATCCAGAAGCCACAGCAGTAGTTCACATTCTATGACCAATCTGCCACCCCTTCTCTCCTGAAAACAGCTTATTCCAACATAGAAAATCCATACAATTTTCTCAGTTACTGCATATAATATTGCCTTTGCCTCCTCTATGATGAACTGTAGATAATTTGAGTGCACAGATTGTCTTATTGATGTAGAATCTTAAACATTTTTATTTTCATATACATACATGAATATATATACATATATACGACAGCTTCGTAATGTAGATTGAGCCATGTGTAGTCTGTAGTGAATATTTATGGGCTCTTGTCTATCTATGCAATAACTCCTTCCTTCCTGTGGGCTGGGGGCCTCAGGTGTACTCAGGTACCTCTTTAAAGCAGCTTTGTATTTTAAGCTGTGAAAGTATTAAATGGAATAGAAAGGGTTGGTTGGGAGAAATCTCTTGCGATTTGCTAAATGGTTAGCTTACACAAAGCATACATTATTTTAAAAGAGTATTTGAGGAAAACTGGCTCTATAAATGAATACTGTGCTCAGGCCAGAGCAGGGTCTAGCAACTTTCATTTAGCCAGATGAATAATGAGAATTTTCAAAGTTGTCTCCCATGATACTTTTGTGCCACTTGTAAACAACGGGGAGTATTATTTGTCTCCACTTATCCCTCTCCCACAGCTTTCCTCCCTCTGGTTAGCAACAGCTGAAGTTGTCTGGGTACTTAGAACACAGACAATTTGCTGACCAGCTGGCCCCTTTATCTACCGATAGACACCTAGAAGCAGAGGAGGGTCCAATTTATCTTTTTTTTTTTATGTTTGCATAAGGTGTTGATTGTTATTTAGATGTATTGCACTTGTTCAGAATTCACTATCAGGAAATAGTGAGGAGACTATGGGGGACACTTTGGTTCAAGGGACTCTCAGTTAAATGTTAGTGATTTTCATGATGATGTAATTCAGTACAATTTCAGAAAGGAAAATTACTGTCGGAGATTACCAGTCGGAACATACTTATTCAAAAATGATTTTATAATAGCTAGCCTTCAGGAATCTAGATAAGTCTGTACTCCATAAGCATTTGGGAACTGAAAAGAAAAGAGGTGTGTTTATTAAATGCATGTTATGTGCTCAATATTGTGCCTGACATTCTGTATAATATGATGGCTTATTTACTGAGAGATAAATAGTAATAATAGGAAAGATGATGGTAACTATGGTGGTTTCTAAACTTTAACATTTAAGGAATGCCTATGAGTATTCAGATTATAGGTTCTGAATAATAACATAATTTTAAGCCTTATTATCACCCTCGCGTATTACTTCTCATTCATTCAGGCACATTTGTGGAGTACACATGCAGTACCTGGAACAAACGGTTTGGACCTTAAGGGATGTAGTTTAACAAGGGTAAGAGGTGAACCTAGAACTCCCTGGTAGGCACTTGGATGGGAAAATATCAAAATGCCCTCCATTCCTTTAAAATACCTAACTATGAACTATAACACACAGACACTATAGAACAAAGGTAATTCAAGTCACTTCTGGCTTTGTGAGTTATCTTTTTTGTTCCATCAAACTTCTTGGAATGCTGTGGGAACCGTTCCTGGACCCACTGGGAAGACTAGCATTTTAGGTGGTGTCTCCCATTTCCCAGGACTTGAGTGTTTCTTTCCATTTCCTTTTCAAGCACTGGGATTCTAGAAGTTTAAAGTGACTGACTTTGGGATTCTGCTGTCCTTCATGAAAGGGGACAAATGATTTAAAGTGTAACATGCATTAAGTTCTTCCTACTGCAGTGTGACAAGCATGTGGCCTGTTGGTGCCACAGCTCTGCAGGCCCATTTTACCTTAAGGCAGGTAGATCCGTTTCAAGAACCTCAGTTCAAGGAAACAGAACCAGAATGGCAGAACACAGGTCCCGAGAAAACACACAGGCTCTTCAGCTTCCATGGCATAGTTTAGAAGTTAAGTTTGATTAAAATAAACACTAACTGAAAGACAAAAATAAGGAAGGTGGAGATGAAAATAAGGAGGTCAAAAAAGTAGTCATTATAAAACTGAGAACCCAGGCTTTAGAAGGCCTTGAACTGGTCTTAACACTAGTGAAGTCTAACTGGGAGTATGAGTGACATCCCTTGGGGATAATTATGCTCAACTGTATCAACCTGCATATATACACATATACATGCATATATGTATATTATATGTACATATATGTGTATATACATATATATGTGTTCATGCACACACATATACATATACATACATACATATACATATATATATGTATATACAGTAGATCAGTTCAAAATAGTGCTGAGGGAAACCCATATCTTCTTTTCATACAGCTAAATATAAAACACTCCTAAGAGACATTCTCTGGTTCCCCATAGCCTCTAGAAAGAAATCTACCTCAGTTAATTTAAAAGTCAAGCTCTCTCTTATATGACACAAAACCATCTTCCAACTTTTACTCTTCCCAGTTCACACCTTGTTTAAGCCAGGTGACATCTCTCAATGAGGCAGCAAAGTGTCTCAAATGTCAGCTAGGATCATTCCTACCTTTTTTTTTTTCCAGTCTTGATGCTCCCCTCAACCTAAAATGTTCCTTATTTTGTTATGTAACTATCCATATCTTAGCCATTTTCCAAGGCACCCAGTTTCCTTCTATATGAAAAGCATCTCTGATGACCATTTAGCCCTTTCTTTCTTTCTTTCTTTCTTTCTTTCTTTCTTTCTTTCTTTCTTTCTTTCTTTCTTTCTTTCTTTCTTTCTTTCATTTGTACACTTTTAGATCCAGCTATTACACAGATTTAGCTGTTGATATTTGTTAAGCAATGTAATGATGTAAATTGCTAAGCAATATAATGATGTAAATCATCTACTTAATTTTGGGGGAATTTATAGACTAGTACAGATAAGTCATGCACAAAAGTGGGAGATAAGGATCACTGTTACTAAACAAGCATTGTAGAGGTAAATTGTTTTGATAAGATATATTAATTTTTGAGGAAGACTCAAAATTAATTTCTCTGGTGGGGAGTCGGAAAGGCTTAGCCTCAAATTCCAAGCAGGGCCTAAAAACAAAGAAAAAGGACGTTTTAAGCAGGGAAAACAGAGCAACAAGCCAGGAAAGGGGCCTGCTTGCAAAGGATTTTGATTGGCCGTATTGAAGGATGGATGCACTTGGGGAAGGAGGTGTGGCTTGAGGAACCCCATGATGATCCACTGAGTTCTGATGTCTTTGTCTTTATAGACTACTTCATGTACATTTTACTGAAGTCTCATGTGTCATACTATTTCTGTCTTCTCATTTATTCATGTCTTACTGTTAAAATTTTGCCAATAGTAGGAGATGCAGTATAATTCCTATCTTTTGCTTTCTACCTCATTAAATTCAGTAGTACACTATTCTTGACAGAAGAGTGCTTAAACGCTGTTAGTTTAAAATCCATACAGTGCTCTGAGTGCCTTTCACATCTTAGGTGGAACTGAGACGATAAGATATCCAGGGCTGGAGAACATGGCTTCTTAAACCGTGGCTTGCAACCTCACCCACGGTCATATGGTAGAATGTAGGGTTATGAAAAATTTAGCAACAACAATAACCAAGAAGATTTCTGAAAAACCGGCCAACAATCAATCCAAAAATCAAATGTGTAATGAGGTCAGGGTGTTTTTGTCTGTGCTTGACTGTGTTGCACCACAAGGCTTCCACGCAGCCTTGGTTTTGAGCATACAGTGTGTGCACAGCTGCTCACGTAGGGAACGCTGCCTGGGATGCTTGGTTCTTACTGGAGACAGTTGTACTCAATGACGTACAGTGCTGTGCCTTACACATGAAAGTTTCTGATGGGAGGTTTCTGGTCTTACAGATGCAGTGATTTAGTATAGAAAACAAAGACTTGCAATATTTTTATACTATCATCCCTAAACACGTCAAATTCCTCCAGCTTTGAATTGTGTTGTATTTGGATGCCTGACTTTAAAATTGCTGTTTGAGGTGTTAACATGAATTCTATATATGAAATAAAATGTAAATGCATTTTGGCTTAGGATCAGAGCAGAATTTATTACAGTTTCTGAAATATCCCTAAACATGCTTCTTCCCCTTTGTAGGACACATTTACACAAAGTGACATCAGAATTGATAATTATGATTTTCCCCATTTTATTTATTCTTTTAGTATTTCTTGCATGAATGTATAGCATTTTGATCATATTCACCTCCCCACTCACCTCTTCCAACTCTTCCCCGATACTCCTGAGACTGCTTCCCAACTTCATGTACTTTTTAAATTTTTTTTCCTTTTTTATAATCCACAGAGTCCAACTAGTGCATAGGTCTGGGACCACCAACTGGAGCCAGTCCACCAGGGCCCACACCCCTAGAGAAAACCGACTCTCCCTCTCCTAGCAGCCATTGACTCTTGATAGCTCCTCAGCTAGGAGCGGGTCTGGTGTGTCCCTCACCCACTGATGCTAGAATGTTGACTGGCTTGATCTTGGGCATGCCTTACGCCAGGAAGCACAGCTCTTGGGACTTTACAGGGGCAAAGGTGTTGTCAGTAAATGTCTAGCACGTCCTTAGACATGAGTAGATGAATAGATTTTGGAGGGACGTTTAAGATCCAAACTATAGAAGAGTTAAAGAGAGCTATGCAACCAATAGCATGAGAAATGTCAGGACCTACATAAAGGCCCTGAATGTAGAAATTCAGGAGAGGAAGGGATGGACTTCAGGGACAGATAATGAGCATAGTGATTGAGGAAGTCTGGGTTGACTCCATGATTGGCAAAAGTGACCAGGTTCCTTCATGGGATTGTGGCTCTATTGCCTTCTTCCATGAGTCCAGCTAACATTATTAGTTAAGAAGGGGAGACAAAACAGAGAAATTTTATACCTGTGATGTGGACTAAGTATAGGACAAGAAGAGATCTGGGGGCCAGTCAAACTGTGCCTGAGCTATGCACTGGGTTTTGCGTGAGTGCACACTTTTCACTCACCCACTCCTCTCCTTTTATCTTGTGTGCCCTCTGGGACCCTTACGACAATCAGGAAGCAGGGAAGGAGGGAGCTTGTAAGCTGTGACTGGTGCTACTGATAGTCTTTGATGTTATGTGAAACCGCCAAGTTCCTGCAGCAGATGGGATGCCCGGCTTGAAGGTGCCACCCTCCTGACTCTAGACCTAGCCCCGTTCACTGGCAAAGATGAATGTCCTGTCTTCTCTGTTCCCAGGTTTCCACCTTTACCACAAGCTACCCCACCTCATGCCAGAGAGCTGCCTCCTCATCATCGTGGGTGCGCTGGTGGGTAGCATCATCTTCGGCACCCATCACAAATCGCCTCCAGTCATGGATTCGAGCATTTACTTCCTGTATCTCCTTCCACCCATCGTGCTCGAGAGCGGCTACTTCATGCCCACACGGCCCTTCTTTGAGAACATCGGCTCCATCCTGTGGTGGGCAGGTCTGGGGGCCCTGATCAATGCCTTTGGCATTGGTCTCTCCCTCTACTTCATCTGCCAGATCAAGGCCTTCGGCCTTGGTGACATCAACCTGCTGCAGAATCTGCTGTTTGGCAGCCTGATCTCGGCGGTGGACCCTGTGGCGGTGCTGGCTGTGTTTGAGGAGGCGCGTGTGAATGAGCAGCTTTACATGATGATCTTTGGGGAGGCCCTGCTCAACGACGGAATCAGTGTGGTGAGTCCCCCAGATCATGTTCCCGGAGGGGTGGAGCTGGGGTGGCCACAGAGGTCGGGGCTGCTTCGGTTCTCCATGTCATGGTTGTGGCCCGAATTCTGGTAACATTCTGAAGGGTCCACTTTGTGTATCTAACTTCTCATTAGTTGCTTTAAAGAGAGAAAAGGAATAAAAAAAACATGTAATTCAACTTACATTTTAATTCAAGGATTTTTTTTTTTATTTAGCATGGAGAAACTATTATTTATAGCCATCCTGGGTCCTCAAGGTGATCAAGACAGTACCTTTGTTTCTAATATATGTCTCTATACATATCAAGCATACACACACACACACATACATATACACACTCACATTCACACATATATACATATATATCATGAGATACTAGATGAAGTTAAATAAAATTCCTCTGGCCATTGAGACATGACAGAGCAATTATAGAAATAAATCAGCTTGTATGGTGCTCAGTCACATGTCATATGGAAAATGCTTAGAAATTCTCTAGAGAGAAGCAGAGGAGGATGAATAGGCTAGAAAGAGCAAGGCTTAGCACCAAGCCCCAGGAAATGTTCACAGCCTGGGTTGTTGCAATATTCACCACAAGTCATGCTCAGGGATCAGTTTCACTAAAAACTACAGCATTCGCCAGCTGTTGGCCTATAAGAGGTGTATACACCCTTTAATGGCCTTTCATTACTTAAAACTTACATTCCTGCACATAAGCAGTTCTAGAATACATTTCATTGTAAAGGAGTCCGATAGCACAGAATTATGAGTCATAAACAGAAGTTTCCATTGCCTTCTCCCTATTCTTTATGCAAAGAGCAAGCCTGTTAACTCATTTGCGCCTTTCTCTCTCTGTCTTCACGGCATGCATACACACACCTGCATAGCTGCAGATGCACCGTGTTTTGACAAACACTGAGGGATCATACCATATCTGTGGCTTAGCTGTAGCCACTTCAGGTCCTCCCACGTCTCCTCAGTGGTTACACATTATTTTGTTGATTAAGTTAACACAATTTGTTTCACAATTTCCTCCATGGGTGGTTATTTCAGTGGTTTCTAATTTTTTTTTTTTATAGATAATGTTACAATAAACTATACTTTTTTTTTCTTCCTGGCCCTGTTTTTGCATTTGGGACTATTTAAAAACAATATTTTGTTAGTAATGAAATATACAGATTTAAAACTTGATACATGGGGCTATTTTAATCATTATTGGTTCACCCCATTGGTAAAGAAGAGGTTATTATCCTAGAGTTGTAGGGATGAGCAAAGACATGATATCTGTGTCTTAGTTTCTTTTCTATTGCTGTGACAATAGAACACCAAGACCAAGGGTATGTTGAAAAGAAAGTGTTTAATGGGGCTTGTGGTTTCAGGGGGCTGGAGTCCATGACGGCAGAGCAAAGGAAGCTGAGAGCTCACATCTTGATCCTCAAGAGGGAGACAGAGAAAATACTGAAAATGGTGTGAGTCTTTTGAGATCCCAAAGCCAACATCCTGTGACACACTTCCTCCACCAAGACCACACCTCTTAATCCTCCCCAAACTGTTCCACCAACTGGGGACCAAGCGTTCAAACACATGACCGACCCTATGGGGGCCATTCTCATCCAAACCAATACAACCTGAAACCATACAGATGGATCCAACAGCAGGTCATTAGAAAGTGTAAACACAGTCCAGAGGAGTGGGATATCAAATAACACCCCAAACCATGTGGCGTGCCCTAGAAAAAGAAAACACCAGCAGGGGTTGAAGGGGTAGGCATGAGGCTTAGAGGCTGAAGGGAGCAGGGTGGGGGATTGAAGAGGGCAGGCAGGAGGCTGGAGCAACCGTGGTCCTCAAAGATGCTTTTGAATTGTGTGGAGAATTTTGCGGACTAGAAAGGGTAAGCAGGAGCACTGTCTGGTCATTTTGCTCAGGAGAATTATCTGGCTGGGGCTGTTAAACCTAGAGCAATGGGGCTAGGAGGAATTTGCAGCTCGGCTGAGCACCTTTGAATTTTTCCAAATGCCAAGGTAACACATGACATTGAACTTGGGTGACCTTAGCTGCTAAGCTTTTCCAGAAAGGCTTTATCAGCTCTTGCTTCTACAGATAGAGTTGACTTCTTTAATTTTCCCAGAACACTCGGTCTCTTTATCAGGAGCATAATCATGTGACACGCAGAAATTCTTGCTGAGAAATCATCTGTATTCATTACCAAAGCAAGTTGCCTGCTGCCACTGAGCGAGGATCAGATCTCACCCTGAGGTTTCTCTTTAACAGTCTGTCCAGAGCAAACCCTATCGTGGTTTCCAGTACCAATTCCATCACCAGTGACATTTGTTTGACTTTCTCAAGGCTAAATTGTGTCCATGGAGATGTTTCTAAAGAATGATCATTTCAAAATAAGATTGTAATTGCTGAGTGACTCTAGCGTTTGCTGAGGGTGCTGTTGTGACCTCTGCTGGGCACCACTGCCGTTACATTGGCTCCGGTGAGGTTGCCCACACGTTCATCTTTGGTATCCCACAGCACAGTGAGTATTAAGTGTGTGCTGGGACACCACTGGGTCCCTAAGTGAAACCAGAGAAGCCCAGGGCCAGATTTAGAAAGCAGCTGAAAGCAACTGGTACTTTCTGCCGTCCAATGGTATTTTGAGCTGAGGGCTTTGAGCTCACCCTTTCATTGAGCAAAGAGCCTGCCCAAGGGCAGCAGTCACAACCCTGCAGAAGGCCTGAGTCACCCAGAGGTGGCCTGTGGTTGAGGGTTACATGTGATGACAGTATAGATCTTACTTCTAGAACTGTTGAAATATCCATGAATCTGATTCACCAAGATTGAACCACATCAAGGGTTCAGTTTGTGATTTCTCATTTATTCCTTCGTTTTGCTGAATTTTCAGGTTATGGTATTGATAACTAGAACCGACCCTCAGTGGCTGACAAACAGAGCAGAAAGACAAGCCCTACCAAGTACTGCAGTCTGCACTGGAGATCTGTGGAGAGGGAGAGGGAGAGAGAGAGAGAGAGAGAGAGAGAGAGAGAGAGAGAGAGAGAGAGAGAGAGAGAGAGAGAGAGAAAGAAGGAGGTAATTATTCTACAACAATTATTTCATCAGGATGTGCACATTAAGGATTGATAGATATTGTGTGACTTGAATATCTACAACTTTCTTTTTAAAAATAAAATATATTTCTAATATTACTTTAAAAAATACCCTAAGATCACCTACATCCTCAACGGAGTCTCCTAGTTGAGATCCTAGAAGAAAGCAGAGACAGAGCTACCCAGTCCTGGACCCATGATGGCCAGCTTTGCATTTACTACCTCATTAAATCCATGGATTTTATTATGAGGCGTGAGAGATATCCTCCATTCAAAAATGAAGAAAACCAGGCACAAGTTAAAATCCCTTGGGTTATAGAGCAGACCTAGCTGCCCAGCTCTATTCCTTCCATTCCCTTTCCATTTTCTTCTTTCCTTTTGAAATTTCAACTCTGAACTGTAAAGGGGAGGAGAAAAACCTACCTATTCATGATTGGACTGGTCTCAAGCTCAGTGGCACAGCTGATCTTTCTCTTGTATAGAAATGGCAGACTTTGTGATTGCCACACAAGACTTTAGGCAAGACTGTTCACTTATGTCTCTTCTTGCTGTAGAACTGGGATAAAAACATTCTTTGGCTCACAGGGTCCATGGAAAATTCATATTCAGCTTTAAGTACAGTAAATTCCTGGACTGGAAAGGGCACTGAGTGGTTTCTATGTGTGTATCTGTGACTTTCACATCAGCTCATGAACACATCTGGATCAACATAACCAGACAGCTGATTTTAAATATGCCTCACTCCATGACTATAGAATAGATGTTTTCCTATCTCTATGGAACTATGTGTGTATGTATGTATGTATGTGTGTATGTATCTATCTATCTGTCTATCTATCTATCTATCCATCCAACCAGTTGCCATAGATCAACTTGCTAGATAAGCAACAGGTAATTCCATTCACGTTTCTATCCACATACCCCATCTCTTCTCATCTCTTACTTACTCTACCTCCTCTGGAAGGATAAAGTTCCACGGAGCAGGGCTGAGACTGGAACCCAGGCAATCTTCCTCTGCTTTCTCTGGACCACCTCACCACATCGTTGTATCCACCTAACCCTCTCCTTCCGCTGCCTTTCCCCTGTGTTCCCATGCCCTCTCCAGGCATATCTCTAGGGCATCTGCTAGGAATGCCACTGCAGAGAGAGATGACCTATACTTACTTGCCAAGCATCGGTCTTAACCAACTTCACCAATGAGTGCTTTATCAGATTTTTCCCATTCAAGTCTCATGGAACCTCACCAGGTGGAGAATCTTGTCTCAGTTTATGAAGTGACAGTCTGTAGTAGTTGAGGGTAGGGTGCCCCTAGGCCCAACCACTGAGGTCCATGGCCCCATTCTGGCCATTCTTTTTAATATGTATACAAATTTCTTCATTGTCATTTATAAAATGAAGACAGAATCCCAATGAAATCAAGCACATATTTACTGAGTAGAATCTAGTTTGTGCAGTATAATATCCAGAAGGCAGAGTGGCCATCTTCTTGCTTTGATCAGCCAGCCATTCCCTTTAGCTGAGGCTATCAGAGGAAATTTGTAGTAGTGACCCTTGGCTTCTCTTTAACTCTGTCATTTGATCCTATCTGTGTACACATTCTATTGCTAGCACTAGATCCTAAATTCCCTGACCCCCCATCTAGAGTTTGATGTCCCCCTTTTTTCCCTCATGTATCCCATAATCCTTGCTTTGCTGAAGGGATTCCTGGGGCCCTATTGATTTCAATTCCAACTAATTATTTTGGTATCCATAAGACTCATCATCTAGTTCTGAGCAAGCAAAGGGTTCTCAAGTGTTCATCCTTTTAACATTACCATGGGGGAAGAGCAGTAACATTCAGTAGACACTGGTTTTGAATGTGGGCCTTAAGGGGCTGGTGCAGTGTGCTATAGTCATGTT